TGACAATCCAAGAACTCATTTGAGCATGGGTTGTTAGGGCAAGATCCCACCGAATAATTGCAAATTATATTGCCTACATAGGATATTAAAAGTATCAACACAAGACAGAACATGAAACAATGGGTATAAATTCGATAAGTTTAGATTTAGGAAAGACTCGGGTAAATACTGGTTCGGTAACAGGGTTGTTGATTTGTGGAACCAATTACCACGTAACGTGGTGGTGGGGGGGTCTCTCAATTGTTTCAAGCGTGGGTTGAACATATATGAGTAGGATTGGGTGGTTATAGATAGGAGCTGCCTCGTATGGGCCAATAGGCCTTCTGCAGTTACCTTTGTTCTTATGTTCTTAATTCTGTATGGCTGGGACAGGAGTGGTTGGGCATAAGAGATTTCACAAGCAGCCCTATATGACACTGGGAAAAATACCTTCAGACACTTGTTATTCCAATAAATGTTCTGCTACATAAGCATACATGTCCAGTGATAGTGAAAATAGTCATTCACAAAAAAACATACATTCCATTATGTATTAACTACAAACATTTAAAATACAATTCTTACCTTTCCTATGGTCCATCGTTTGATAATTTCCCTTTGATGGTATTTTGAAGTAAATTAAAAATTTTAAAGTGGTTAACAGTTTCAGAGTTGGCAAAGTTCATCTACTACTATACCATGAAGCAAACTGCACTACAGTATATATATATATGATTCCTCCTCATCCAAGGCATAATACTGTAATGCCTTTGGAAGGTGTAAGATAAGATAAATAATTACTCTTATCAAATATCTAATGATAAAGCATATCACTGAAATAGTTTAAATCAATCTTAAGGATTATTTTATATGCAATACTGTATTTAATATTGAATTCTCTAGATAGTTTATTTACAGACATTTTGTATGTAATCAAGATCTATAAAAGAAAATGTGTAATTACCCAAGTGTAGTTACAGGATGAGAGCTACGCTCGTGGTGTCCCGTCTTCCCAGCACTGTCATATAGCGCTTTGAAATTACCGACGGTTTTGGCCTCCACCACTGCCTCACCCAACTTGTTCCAACCGTCTACCACTCAGTTTACAGAAGTAAATTCTTATATTTATCTGGCAGTTTTGTTTTGTTAGTTTAAATCTATGACCTCTTGTTCTTGAAGTTCCGGGTCTCGGGAATTCTTCCCTATCAATTTTATCGATTCCTGTTACTATTTTGAACGCAGTGAGCATATTGCCTCTTTCTTCTATCTTCTAGTTTTTGCATATTTAATGCCTCTAATATCTCCTCATTGCTCTTGTTCGTCAGTTCTGGGAACCACTTAGCAGTATGTCTTTGCACCTTTTCCAGTTTGTTGATGTGCTACTTAAGATATGGGCACCATACAACCACTGCATATTCCAGCTTTGGTCTAACAAAAGTCGTGAACAATTTCTTTAGTATTTCTCCAGCCATGTATTTAAGAGCAATTCTGAAGTTAGAAAGTGTAGCATAGGCCCCTCGCACAATGTTCTTAAGAAACACATTAACAAACTGGAAAAGATGCAGACATATCACTAAGTGGCTCCCAGAACTGAAGGGCATGAGCTATGAGGAGAGGTTAAAGGCATTAAATATGCCAAAACTAGAAGAGAAGAAAGAGACAATATGACAACTACATACAAGATAGTAACAAGAATCGATAAAATTGATAAGGAAGACTTCCCGAGACTTGGAACTTCGAGAACAAGAGGTCATAGATTTAAACTAACTAAACAAAGCTGCCGAAGAAATACAAGAAAATTCACTTTCACAAACAGAGCGGTAGACAGTTGGAACAAGTTAGGTGAGCAGGTAGTAGAGGTCAAAACCGTCAGTACTGTACTTTCAAAGTGTTATATGACAGTGTTGGAAAGACGGGACTCCACGAGCGTAGCTCTCATCCTGTAACTAAGGTAATTACTTAAATTTTAATATACACATTAGATAATTACACTAATGTGTATACTCTTTTCAGTCATATAACATCAATTTTTGTGTTACGTCGTTCATTTTGGTATCAAATTATTCGCAATAGAATTCCCCACAGGGGAATATGCATATAGTCAAAAAGCCCGGTGTGCCACCTGCAGCAAACCCGAAAATTGGACGAGTGCTACCCGTGAGCATTATACACAAAGTGTGTACACAGTACTCTGTTCAGTTTTCTCATCAACTGTAAAGCTACGTCATTCATTCTGGTATCAAATTGTTCGGAATCTAAAGCTATGCATTTTAAAACTAGTCCTATAATGATTGGGTAAACAATTTAATTTTAACCAATTTTAATTTTGAACCCCACATGCGTCCTCGCAGGACATCCACAGTTATTTGTGGACGTTAAATCCATCCCCGCAGGACGAAAGTGTTAACTGAATCCTAGAGACGCAGTATGTCATTTAAATTACTTCAATCAAATAATATCAGTAATGGCACAAAATTTATAACCATGTAGCAAATGCCTATCGAAAAAAATGTACATGTACAGTATGCAAGAAACCGAGGAGGAAATGTTTACCTAGAGCAAAAATTTTAGAAGAAAATTTTTTAAGGAAACTGCACAAAGGCCTAGTGGTCCAAGCAAAGTAACTTCTACACAAAATCTTATTCACTCGTATGTCTGTACGCTTGAGCCAATCTAGTGATCTCAAACCTACTGTATTAACCTGTTCTAACATTTGATAAATCCAAAACTCTATATCTAAACCAACACTCTGCCTAGTCTCCTTTTAATCCAAACTTCTATTTACTGTTTTATGTTCCATTTTGCACTAGTATATTCACCTTGCTGATATCCACCCCCCCTATTATACCCTCTTCATCGATATGTTGTCCTCAGTCATGTCTTCCCCATTGTTTTTTCACCATTCTTTACAAATCCCAGCTAATTAATATCCATTATATAGTATCTTGAGGTTATCTTGAGATGAGTATCTTGAGGTTATCTTGAGATGATTTCGGGGCTTTAGTGTCCCCGCGGCCCAGTCCTCAACCAGGCCTCCACCCCCAGGAAGCAGCCCGTGACAGCTGACTAACACCCAGGTACCTATTTTACTGCTAGGTAACAGGGGCATAAGGTGAAAGAAACTTTGCCCATTGTTTCTCGCCGGCGCCCGGGATCGAACCCAGGACCACAGGATCACAAGTCCAGCGTGCTGTCCGCTTGGCCGACAGGCTCCCATTACAGTACAGTACTGTACATTAATATAGAACAGTATCCAAAACTAAATCGTACAACCTAGATGTAGCCTAACAAGTGCAATGCAAACATCACTAAATTTATTATTATTAATGCTTACAATTACAACTCTGATCCTCTTTGCCATATTTTAAATAATTGTACACTGATTTTCTGGATAAAGATCCCTAGCATGACAAATCTTTTTACATTCAAGAGAAGTTAAAAACAGAAGTTAAAAGTAATTATAAGGTGCATATAGCAGGGCTGGTAAAGAAAAATCCTAGTGTTTACATATATCAAACAAGATGATGGGCCACTGGAAATGAGACAATTGATAATTAGAGAAATTGATACAAAAAGAAATCACATTAATGTGGGAGAGTTCAAATCTATGTGCTGGGTACTTCCAGGCACACTAGCCCACTATAGTGTCAAAAGCATTGCAATTTTGGATTTAATCGAATCTTCTAGGGTTCCTGAAGCTTCCGATGACACCTAATCAGGGTTTCATACAATGCTCCTTCCTAGACTACAAGCCTACACTCTGGCTCGTAGTCTAGGAAGTCCATCTCCTACACTTTTCTACAAACACACACAGAAATCACATTACCATGATGTATCAATAAGATACATCAGTATCAGTAGGAGCCATGAGGACTCAAACTTATACACTGGGTACTCCCAGCCACAATTTCAGGTATTCCTGATTAGGCTTCAGTGGAAGTCTAATTTGCGATGCTTTTGCTCATTTCTTGGTGTTCTAGACCGACCCCGGACATACCCAGTGTACAGGTTCAAACCCTCATGGCTCCTACTGATCTTAAGAAATGAATGGTATTTTAAGTATGTTGCATCTATATACTATAAAAGAACAATTTATCTGAAGCTGAACAAAGTAGGTAAGTGGTAAAGAGAACAAGTTGACTAGTGGTTAAAAGGGAAGATGTTTTTAAACAAATATAAAAATATTAGTAATAGTACCCATGACCAGGAAAAGTATTTGCCAGAGTCCTTATAGCTCATAATGATGAGGTTAGTAAGCCCTCATCTTCACCATGGGGGTTATCATGAGATTATCATGAGGATATCTTGAGATAATATCAGGGATTAGCGTCCCTGCAGTCCAGTCCTCGACCAGGCCTCCTTTTTGTTACACATTCCCAGGAAGCAGCCCGTAGCAGCTGTCTAATTCTCAGGTACCTATTTACTGCTAGGTGAACAGGGAAGGGGCATCAGGGTGAAAGAAACTCTGCCCATTTTTTTCCGCCTTCACCGAGGATCAAACACAGAACCTCAGGACTACGAATCCCGAGCGCTGTCCATTCAGCTGTCGGGGAAGCACCATCATTGTGCACGACAAAAAATAGTTCACAAAATTAATAAAAAAAAATTGTATTTGAGTAGAGGAGGTAATTGCAGATAGCAATTGGAGCTCTTTTAAAGGTTAAGAATGAGGATAGATCAAACTATTCGTCATTTAACTGGACTGAATGAAAATTGCTTATATTTATAAACGCAAAAGCCATTCGTTTACAACATGAAAAACTAATATGAATTCACAACTACTGTATTACGGTCACTTTAAATCCCTTTAACTCCTTGAGCACAGGCAATATACAGTACATCATAATCTACACCTAGAAAACACTGGAGGAACCGACTCAAAATCTGCACACTAATAATTCCTTACCCAAGTGTAAAATAGCCCCAAGTAAATAGTATTGACACTTAAAGACAACTAAGAATTAAGGGCCCTAAGGTTTTCAATACACTCCCTTTAAATACAAGAAGAATTACCAACAGACCCCTAAATGTCTTCAAGTAGGAACATGACACGTTCCTTCAAAGCGTTCCTGATCAGCCGGGCTGTGGTGCCCACATCGGATTCCGAGCTGCAAGTACCAACAGTCTAGCTGATCAGGCAGTCTACCAGAAGGCTTGGTCAGGGACCGGACCATGGGGTCGGTGATCCCTGGAACCACTTCGAAGGTAGATTCAAGGTAGGTAGTGCCTAGTGAAAATTAAAAATGGTATGCACAATGAAACAAATTTATGCAGACTAGATAATTCAAAAATTGTGATTCCAAGAAAATGGATTCTGACAATGCTTTTAAGCAGTACCTCCATTCCAGTCTTAAAACCCATCAAAATAAGCACAAATCAAAATCAGTAACATCAATGAATGCAACTACAGTACTGTAATTAAACATGTGCAAGACTTAATTTATAGAAGCTGCTGGCACATGAAATTATATACAATAATCATTCAGTAAACTTTGTATTCTACACTAAAAATGCAGTAAAATGTTATTTAAGCTTTTTCACAAAGTTTTTGCAAAGCTGTATTAGGTAGTAATCATTATACTCTACAGAGACCAGCAGCCAAAACAAACTTTAACTACTACACTCCAATATTTAAATTAATTATGCTACCAAGTGAATAGCACTAATATTATCATTGTAAATAAAAATTAAAAGTGCCTAATCAAATACTGTACTGTATTGTGCAAATGCTCTAAATACAGCATTAAAAAACTTTAAATGTCCATAGCCATCTTGCTTGTGGAACTTGTAATCTTCTATTAACCCTATCGCACTCTTCGAACGACCCTTGTGTCCAATTTTTTTTCTCTCAAGTCCGAACATCGGACATTATGTGCGTCCGATAAAAAAATTTATAAAATTCATATATTATCTGATCGACTTCGTGATAGTTTCAAAATGAGCACCTTTAGAGTGCACACAATTTGATACCAAATTGAAAGATGTAACAATGTCAAAACTCTTGAAAGATCATAAATACGTTTTAGGTCAAAATTTTAAATATTTGTTAAAAGTCTATTTATCGTGCTATTATTATGGGACTAGTTTTAAAATGTGCGCCTTTAGATTGTGAACAATTCGATACCAAAATGTAAGATGTAACACAAAAATTTATGTCAGACCACTCGAAAGATATAAATAATTTTGTGATGAGCATCCAAAATTAAAATATGTTAAAATACTAGTTATTGCTCTATTATTATGGGAATAGTTTCAAAATACACGCCTTTATATTGCGAACAATTTGATACCAAAATGAAAGACTTAACATGAAAATTGATGTTATAAAACTGAATGAGTATACACATTAGGCTGAACTGTACAAATTGGTGCTCGTTCACAGGTAACTTTAGGCTTTGCTGCAGGGAGTCACACCGGGCTTTTGGACATTACTGTATATGCATATACACCTACTGGGAATTTAATTGCGAACACAATGATACCAAAACGAACAATGTAGCACGAGAATTAAGGTGAGAAAACTGAAGCGAGTATACACATTTTACGAATTTTGTGCGCTCACGGGTAACTTTTGCAGATTTTAGGCTTTGCTGCAGGGAGTCACTCTGGGCTTTTGGACATTATATGCATATATACCTATAGGGAATTCTATTGCGAACACAATGATACCAAAACGAATGAAGTAGCATGAGAAGTAAGGCGAGAAAACTGAAACGAGTATACATATTTCGGTGTCGCTGCGCGCTCGCCCGCACGTGGAGTGCATGACCTCTAAGTGGGCGGCTCGCATGCCCAGTGCATGAAAGTATTAACTTCAATGCACGAGTTCTCAATTATGTTGATCAACACTAGAAAGTGAAGGGACGACAACGTTTCGGTCCGTCCTGGACCATTCTCAAGTTGATTTTGTCCTTAGGGGACACACTGCCTATGGCACAATATAGGGGCCATAGATAGAGCTCAATGCTAGGTAGAGCTGACAATAGTGTGCTTAAGGGACATTATGTTTGGTCAACATATTTCAGCCACGTTATTGTGCCTCGTCTGCTTCTCAATTATGGTCCATGAGATCCATTCAGGTACCTCATGCTACCTGAATGGTCCAAAGAAAAGTTGTACAATTATAAAAAAAACAGCAGTGGTACACTTTAAGATCAAATCACTACAGCATTTTGTATAAAGGTACATAACTAATATGCAAGCTATTTTGTTTACAATGCAATTTCAATTAATTTACAACTACTATTCAATATAATAAATTTTATTACACATTCTCAGTCTATCTACTACTGGGTTGCACCAGCTTTATGAAAGTTCTTGCATAACTTTTATCTTAAAAGTCATTACTGAATTTTGGAATTTATAAAACATTAGTAAGGTTACACAGGTTGTATCACAATTATATTGCAAGATTTAGTCAACCAAGGCAGGTAGCAGTCCACAGGCCTACACAGCTTTCACAACCCAGCTGATCATTCTTAACATTTACACGCAATATTTCTTATATTTGCTGGAAGGTTATTTTAAATTTTCACATCCCGTACCACCTCTGGTGTAAGCTTTTTGTAAAATCACATTCCTGGTCGTAATGTCACTTTGGATTCACATATTTCTTGAAGTTAGCATTTAACAAAATTGTGCATAGTACAAATTTTGTGCAAAAATTGTTATACTGTATTTTTCAATTATGAAAAATATCCCATCTCAAATCCTTATCCTGACCCTTCCCAAGTGCTTTATACTGTATGCCTTTTTCCTAATGAATTAGCATTTTCCACTGATCATTCTTTTCCCTCTCCCCCCCCCCTTTTTTATTTTCAAGTGGATTGCAGAAGCAGTTGAAGCCACTAACACATTAATATTTGGGTAATAATTGATTAGTGGCTTATACAGTGCAATAAGAACTGAAATAATATTGATATAAAAACTTTATATAAACAAATTATTGACAGGTTGCATTCTAACCAAGAAAACCCTCATCAAACCTTAACTGCCTAGCATTCATGATTCTTATGTCTTGCTTTCTGCATTTGAAATAATTCTATGCTCTGTTAAGTTTAGCTTGAAAATCATTGTAATTACCCAAAATTTTAAAAACAATTACCAGACTTTTGAGATTTAATTTATTATTGTCTTCCAACATGACTTGTTTACTCTTATTTAACCTGATGGCTGTAGAGGCAAGACATCTCATCCCTTGACTAACCACATTTTTCCATTAGTTTAGAATAGCTTATGATGGCAAATTACATTGAAAATTAACTAATTTGTTATTTAAGCTAATGGCAATAAAGATAAGGGGGAGTCTCTCTCTCTCCATTGTCATGTTTAAATAAAAAGAAACTTCAGTGAAAAATTGTCAGAATGTTAGACCTTTAAACGTTAAGATCTAAATTAATAAAGTGCACAAAATATGAGATAGACGAGTCATGAATTAGTGCATTAAGCCAGTCTTACATGAATTACACACATGGAGAAGCACACTTTGCTTGGTTTGGATCTGTAAAAACAAAGTGGCAACTCCAAATCCATGAAATCTTAACTCCTGTGGAGCAAAGGCAAATTGCAGAGGAACCTCTACTCAGCTTTGTATAGTTATTTGCAAAGTTCTGCGGAGTCGGGTCAAAACAATTGAAATAATGAATTATATGAACTTTAAGTTTTTGCACATTGTGGGGAAATTTTGTTATTAAAAAAAAAAAGTTCAGACTGGTTTTGCTAATGGCCACTCATATTTAACAAACTTCTATTCTTTTCCAGCATTTAGTAAACTGTATTTGAAGCAGTTAATAATGTAAAACAAAGACATTTATATCTAAATTTCAGCTAGACACTAAAGGGGCTATTATAAAATAGATTGGTACAGTGTTATTTAAAAGGAAACAAGATCAACCTATACTGGGATAAGTTCGAGTTGTAAATTACTGCAAGTGAAATACTTCAGGGCACTGTCTTGGTACATCTGTTTTTTATCACATATATACTGTATAGTTAAAGGATTTAATGGCAACAACAGCAAATTCACTGATGATTCTAAAATGTGACAGGAAATAAATCGACAAGTAATCAGTCACAACAGGACAACTTAGATTTTTAAATATAACAAAAGGGCGTTGAGCATAACTTCATGTCAGGAAAAAGTACGGTTGCAAGCCTACGAAATTAACAAAAAGTTACTGGATTTCACCGAACGTTTAAATTAAGTGCAAAAAAGAACCAATCATAATTATTTGGAATCTGGAGCCAAAAATTCAATATACAAATGTTTAAAATAAGGGAAGTAAGATTCTGGGTTTCTTATCTGGAAACAGTAACATCAAGATACCCACTGTTAATCTTCAACATTTATTTTGTTACTAGGCATTTAAATTATGCAATTCAGCTTAGATCATCGTACAACAGAATGGAAGAGCTAAACATGTACAGTGAAGGATGACAAAATTAACCCCTAAAATTAACCTTTCATATAAAAAAAAAACTTAAGACAACTTATAATTTTTAGGAAAGAGAACAGTAAGACATGACTGAAGTATGCAAATAGATGAAAGGGTAGAGCAATGAAAACATTAATGTACTAAATATATCAACACAAATTAGAAATAAAAAATGGATAAAACGATATCAGTTTTGATTCAGAAAAGCTTTGGTAAATACTTATTCGGAAATAGGACTGGTTGCCTATTTATGGAACACGTTACCAAGTAAAATAAGGAACAAAGTAGTTGGAGTGTTTCAAGCATCGACTCAAAAACAGGTGCTTTGCATGGACCAGTAGCCTAGCTTTCCACTAGACAACACCAACATTTGGTCCGATTATTTATGCTGTTCAGTTCTTTTTACGGGGTTGATGCGAGGTGAAAGTAGGTTGACAATGCCACGTTACACATTCAGCCAATTCTTAACCTGAACCTACCATCCTAACAAAATTTAACGAGAACGGAAAAGTGGCGCTAGCCAAAGAGGGACGAGCCAGAAACACGGCACTTGTATTGTTTACATCAATCAGTGATATTTTCTCAAGAGAATGCTAATCAACCAAAATTGTGATCCACCTTAAGTTCCTCTACTGCTGACCTTCACTCAATTATTAAACAAACTTACAAGGGAGAAATATTTTATTTTTACTTTTACAAAGGACATATTAGACAATATATGACATTACAAAAATCTAAAAAAAAAAAAAAAGTGATAAGTGGACATGAGAGGTTGAGGTGTAGCAAGAGCATCCTTGTGTTAGTGTGACAAGCTCTACCTAGTCTTACCTCGCACCAATACCACACCTAGGGGCACCAGGCAGCCAAGCACCAGCAGCTGCACCACACATAACATTACTCTACCCTAAGGAAGAATAAAAACAATAACACTTGGTGTTAACAAATGACCTTGGATTATCGTGTAACTCTTTATATGTAAATAATAATACCCAACAGAAATGGTAATATGGAAAGTTTAGTGTGAGGTGTGGGAGTTAAGAGCTCCATAAAGAGTTTACTTGTGTGAGAAAAAGGAATGGAAGAGCCAGCAAGTGTGGAGCCGACACCAGCTCTACCCGATGAACACAGCAATTTGTGGAGCTCACTTATGTCTCCTCCAGCCCTCACCTATAACATTCCTGAGTGCGATCTTGAGCTACAGGTGTCACTAAATACCTCGTCGACCACTTCCCACTAACACTTGAGTCTTGTTGAGTCAAAAACGTGGTGTAATATGAAAGAGAAGGGAGAGGTGTGTACCGGTACTGTCCAATATGGCTGTCGCGCGCTGCTGGCGGACTCAATGCGGTCCTCCCTCTAACACCCATTGTCTAGTGCACCACGCGCTCAATAGATGGCGCCACCACCCCCGTACACTCCTGCCCCCGTACACTCGCCGCCCCCGTACATTATTGCCCCCGTACACTGTCTCGCCGTCCCCATAATCTCCTACCCTGTACATTACTGCCCCCGCCCCCGTACACTGTCTCGCCGCCCTCGTAACTTCCCCCCCCGTAACTTCCTACCCTGTACATTACTGGCCCCGCCCCCGTACACTGTCGCCACCCCCGTACATTACTGCCCCTGTACACTCGCCGCCCCTGTACATTACTGCCCCCGTACACTGTCTCGCCGTCCCCATAACCTCCTACCCTGTACATTACTGCCCCCGCCCCCCGTACACTGTCTCGCCGCCCCCGTACACTGTCTCGCCGTCCACATAATCTACCCTGTACATTACTGGCCCCGCCCCCGAACATTACTGTCCCTGTACACTCGCCGCCCCGTACATTGCTGCCCCCGCCCCCGCCCCCGTACACTGTCTCACCATCCCCGTAACCTCCTACCATGTACATTACTGCCCCCGCCCCCGTACACTGTCGCCACCCCCGTAACCTCCTCCGACGTAATCTCCTCCCCTGTACATTACTGCCCCCCCCCCCGCCCCTCGAACACAGTCTTGCCGCACCCGTAACCACCTACCCTGTACATTACTGACCCCGCCCCCGTAACCTCCTCCCCTGTACATTACTGCCCCCCGCCCCCGTACACTGTCGCCGTCCCCGTAACCTCCTCCCCTGTACATTACTGATCCCGCCCCCGTACACTGTCGCCGCCCCCGTAACCTCCTCCCCTGTACATTACTGCCCCCGCCCCCCGTACACTGTCGCCACCCCCGTAACCTCCTCCTACCCTGTAGCGAGCTACTGAGGAAGCAGTACGACTCTGTTTTCAGTGAGCCATTAAACTCACTAAAGATTGGTAACCCAAATGAATTTTTCATGGATATGATACCAACATCAAATCATATATCAGACGTCACCCTATCCCCACTGGATTTCGAAGAAGCCATAAACAGTATGCCTATGCACTCTGCACCAGGCCCGGATTCTTGGAACTCCATATTCATCAAGAACTGTAAAAAAACATTATCGCAGGCCCTCCACATTCTGTGGAGACAAAGCCTAGATACTGGCGTTATTCCTGATATACTAAAAACAGCAGAGATAGCACCACTTCATAAAGGAGGAAATAAGGCAGAGGCAAAAAATTACAGACCGATAGCACTAACATCGCACATTATAAAAAATTTTGAGAGAGTGCTAAGAAGTAAGATCCGTGGTGTCTGATTAAGCAGTCTCCGTGGTGTAGTGGTAAGACACTCGCCTGGCGTTCCGCGAGCGCTATGTCATGGGTTCGTATCCTGGCCGGGGAGGATTTACTGGGCGCAATTCCTTAACTGTAGCCTCTGTTTAACGCAACAGTAAAATGTGTACTTGGATGAAAAAACGATTCTTCGCGGCAGGGGATCGTATTCCAGGGACCATAGGATTAAGGACTTGCCCGAAACGCTACGCGTACTAGTGGCTGTACAAGAATGTAACAACTTTTGTATATATCTCAAAAAAAAAAAAAAACAAAGATCACAAAATACATGGAATCACAGCATCTCCATAACCCCGGACAACATGGTTTCAGAACAGGGCGCTCTTGCCTGTCGCAGTTGCTGGACCACTATGATATGGCATTAGATGCTACCTTACCTTGAGGTTACCTTGAGGTGCTTCCGGGGCTTAGCGTCCCCGCGGCCCGGTCGTCGACCAGGCCTCCTGGTTGCCTGATCAACCAGGCTGTTGGACGCGGCTGCTCGCAGCCTGACGTATGAGTCACAGCCTGGTTGATCAGGTATCCTTTGGAGGTGCTTATCCAGTTCTCTCTTGAATACTGTGAGGAGTCGGCCAGTTATGCCCCTTATGTGTAGTGGAAGCGTGTTGAACAGTCTCGCTATGGAAGACAAACAAAACGCTGATGTAATTTACACAGATTTCGCAAAAGCTTTTGAATAATGTGACCATGGCGTTATTGCACATAAAATGCGTTCAAAAGGAATTACCGGAAAAATAGGCAGATGGATCTCCAATTTCCTGACCAACAGAACCCAATGTGTAATAGTCAACAAAATAAAATCCAGCCCATTAACCGTGAAGAGCTCAGTCCCCCAGGGTACTGTGCTTGCTCCAGTACTTTTTCTCATCCTCATATCGGACATAGACAAGAACACAACCTATAGCACTGTATCATCCTTTGCAGATGACACTAGGATCTTCATGAGAGTAGGCAACATAGAGGACACGGCAAACCTCCAGTCAGATGTAGATCAGGTCTTTCTATAGGCTACAGAAAATAATATGGTGTTTAACGAAGATAAGTTCCAGCTCATGCGCTATGGAAAAAATGAAAATATAAAAACGGAAACCACGTACAAAACTCAGGCAAATCATAACATAGAACGAAAAGGCAATGTAAAGGATCTGGGTGTACTCATGTCGGAAGACCTTACCTTTAAAGAACACAATAAAGTATCCGTCACAACTGCAAGAAAAATGACAGGTTGGATAACAAGAACTTTTCACACTAGAGATGCTATACCGATGATGACACTTTTCAAAACGCTTGTGCTCTCTAGAGTGGAGTACTGCTGCACAATGACAGCCCCTTTCAAAGCTGGAGAAATTGCTGACCTGGAGAGCGTGCAGAGATCCTTTACTGCTAGAATCCACTCAGTAAAACACCTAAACTATTGGGACCGACTAAAGAGCCTAAATCTGTACTCCCTTGAGCGCAGGCGGGAGAGATACATAATAATTTACACGTGGAAAATATTAGAGGGGCTGGTCCCAAACCTGCACACAGAAATAACATCACATGAGACCAGAAGACATGGCAGGATGTGCAGAATACCCCCGTTGAAAAGCGGAGGTGCAACAGGTACTCTGAGAGAGAACTCTATCAACATCAGAGGCCCGAGACTGTTCAACACGCTTCTGCTACACATAAGGGGCATAACTGGCAATCCCCTCACAGTGTTCAAGAGAGAACTGGATAAGCACCTCCAAAGGATACCTGATCAACCAGGCTGTGACTCATACGTCAGGCTGCGAGCAGCCGCGTCCAACAGCCTGGTTGATCAGCCCAGCAACCAGGAGGCCTGGTCGACGACCGGGCCGCGGGGACGCTAAGCCCCGGAAGCACCTCAAGGTAAGGTAACCTCAAGGTAAGGTAAGGTACATTACTGTCGCCGCCCCCGTACACTGTCGCCGCACCCGTACATTACTGCCCCCTCCCCTGTACATTACAGCCCCTGCCCCCGTACACTGTCGCCGTCCCCGTACACTCTCGTTGCCCCTATTCATTACTGCCCCCGCCCCCGTAACCTCCTCCCCTGTACATTATAATAATAATAATAATAATTTATTCACAAGAAGGTACAATGGGTTGGTGAGATTACATAAGATTGATATTTGTATATTCTTGCAAAGCTACTAACACGCATAGCGTTTCGAGCAGGTCCTTAATTTAACAGATAATTATAAGTAGGTAATTTGTAGCAAAATTTAAAAAAGTTAACAGGTACATTATAAGAAAACTAATAGGTACATTTTAGTATAATTTGAGGATTATCAACAGGTACATTGTAGCATAATTTGAGGCTTATTTCTAGGTACATTGTAGTAAAAGTTGCGCTCAACATAACCACGATATAAAATGATGGCAGTGATTACTACGGTGAAGTTAAATGACTTAGGCACATATTTTGGGGTTGAACACGATACAGTGCAAGTGTGAAGCACTAGGTAGGAAACTATGAGCATGAAATTAGGTACTCTTTCTTGTTACTTTTGAATTAGGGGGTAGGTTGGGCAGCTTTTTAATTCATTAGGGAGTGAGTTCCATCGAATAGGTCCCTTTAGAATAGGTCCCATAGAATAGGTCCCAGGGTGGGACTCAACACTCCTCCCTGAGGTGTGCCGAGTTCAAAGGATTTCGCACCTGACATACAACCTTGATACTACACCTGAGCCTTCCTTTCGTGAAGATAATCCCCTATCCAGCGCAATAATCTCCCTTTAACACCAAGACCAGCTAATTCATATAAGATAACCTCTTTGTTGGCTTTATCAAAAGCTCCTTGCAAATCAATAAAAATTTTACAATAATCATTATCATTAGCTAGACATTTAATAATACAGTCAGAAGTACTTTTGCCTCTGAGGAACCCGAACAAATTACTAGACCTATCACCTATATAATAGGTGATCAGCTGATCACCTATTATATATAAAAGTCTATTTAAAATGATCCTCTCCATCATTTTGCAAAAACACGAGGTTAAGGACACAGGTCTGTACTCTCCATTGGCTTTAGGGATAGGGATGATCATAGTTTTTTTTCCATTTACTGGGAATACTGCCGTCTTTATAACTAATATTAAAGAGATCTAACAGTGGACTTTTCGTCATAATGGCAAGTTCATTAAGTATTTCATAAGTTACTCCATCCTCCCCAGGGGCGGTAGATTTCCCAACTTTAATCGCCGTTATTAGTTCTTCTCTGGTATTAATACCTGTGCAAGTGACATCACCACTGTTACGTGCTGTAAGTATAAAATCCTTTCTTAGATCTTTCCAGAATCTAATGACTCTCTCGTTACAGAGATGAACTAAATTTGGCAGCTTCCGCCCATTTATTTACGAGACCATTTGCTATTCCTAGGCTTGGGTACAAATATTACTGGGAATATGGGATAGGTGTTCATGATAATGACACGAAGTGTAAACTATGTGGTATGTTAAGGTCTCACACCCTTGCTCATTATGTTCTTGATTGCCCGTTGATTAATGTATATAGAAACACTGAGATAAGGACTGTTCAAATCAAATCAAATCAAATGTTTATTTAGGTAAGGTACATACATACAAGAGATTTTACAAAGAGTGATGGATTTATAGATAGGGCTAGTACATACAATGCC